GATTCTCTTTGAATGTTGACACCCCAGAGGTTTGGAGACCAGACGGGGCTGACCCTTACGTTGTCAATGAGCAATTATCTGATCAGAAAATAAAGGCAAGGAATTCTGCTCCACAAAGGCTCATCTTTGAAGTGTCACGCCCATCCTCCATCAATGCTTTTTGATAAACTCCAGACTGTGGATATCTGACAGGAAGGAGAGAGGACATTTAATTGCCGTGCATCCAATCCCAGGTGTGAATACTGATGAGAATGGCTCAGTGCTTTTCTTATTGTTATTCTGCTTCAAGTCGCTGCTATACTGGGAAGTCACGGACCACACTTCACACAAACAGGAGAATTAGGAGCAGCATTAGATCAATTGGCCTCTCTGAGCTTGCTCTACCATTCGATAATGTCATTCTATCACAGAGTACACAAGAGGCCCTTTAGCCCATCGATCTGATTGTGGTCTCTATTTTACTCCCCAACACCCTTTGACTCTCTTGTCGGTCAAAAATCTACCCAACTCAGCCTTAAAAGAATACTGCTCTGTTGAAGAGAATTCTAATGACAATCTAATGACCCTCTGTGAGAGAAAGATAATTCTCATCTCCATCTTTAAATGGGACGCCCTGAATGGTGAAACTGTGCCTCTTAGTTTCAGTCTCTCCCTCAAGGGGAAACACCCTTTTGATATCCATTCTGTGGGCCAACATCAAGTGCCCTGCTTTCCAGATAGTTCCATTCTTGATAACCGCACTGTTTTAAGTGCACATCTTGTAAAATCATAGTAGGAAGCAAGGCCTGGGAATGGCAGTTGTACATCAGGGTCCAATAACTGAGGCCTGACTTTTGAAGTTAGGGGGTACCCATGCTCATATTGGCCGGGGGTGCAGAGCTGCTGCACTTGGCTTTGAGGCAGTGGGCGTAGTCACAAGCAGCACCAAGGCCCATGATTTCCGTCTCTGGCATTCAGTAGGAGCCATCCAGTCTACCAAAATAGTACCAGCTTTTAGAAACGCAACGTTGTTCGCCCTCGCCCTACATAATGAAACTCTCTTATCAATGTTGCCCTTTAATCTGCTTCCACTACTCATTCAGACAAGGCATTCCAATCACAGTAACGCTCTGCGCAAAGTAAGCCCTCTCCTCCTTACTGCCCTGGTTCTTTTGAATCACTATGATATCTATGAATGTCACGATGACTCAGACACCTCAGGTTTCTGACAATCCAGTTTCTCTTGGCATACTATTCAGTGCTTTGAGTATACTTAACAAAAGGATGTAAATTGCTGAGCTTTGACATTTTTCACAGGTATGTGAACAGGTATCACTGCCTAGGAATAGACAAAATGTTCTCAAAAATGGCACCAATACTCATGAAGATGCCATCTTGAATTGCTCCTTTAAGCCTTGCGGGGGAACAGTGGTTGGCAAAGAGGGCTTAAAGTGGGGTTGCTAACCCTGCAGTGGAATTCCTGGAATTTCCAGGAATTGGAGATTAATTCCCTGGAGTTTGCCATGAACACCCCAGAGGAAAACAATCCTGGGCAAATTTAAATAAATCACATTTTCACCATTTGCTTGGAAGACATCTTATATCTTCCCTATGGCTTCTTGTAATTTATAGATGCAAAATGGGAATACCAGCAGAAAGGAAGGGGGAGACAGAAGTACACTGAAAGGAAGACAAAGATTTGTCCCATAATAATTAGTCAGGATTCACACTAATGTGTTAAAGACAATTAATTCAAAACTGAAGAAGTGTGCTACTGTACTGGAAATGTTAACTCTGTTTCTCTTTCCACAGAGACTGCCAGGCCTGCTCAGTTCCTCCAATGTTCTCAGTGTTTGTCTGTGTTAGTTCAAAACTAATGCACTTTGTTGCTCCTGGAATGAAACAATCCTGGTTTTGTCAGCAACTCTGCAGGACTGAGTCCCACAGGACGGTGCTGGCTTCACATAAATTCCACCATATTACTCTGCTGAGTCTTCAATAGAGACTGGTATGCAAAAACCAAGTTGCAAATGATCCGACCCCAGTGCCTGCCCACTACAGGACACGACTGCAAACAGGTAGGCAATTTGCCACAGCCTTTGTCAGCATCCCTCCATTAAAAAGGGGCAATTTATATATAGCTGGAGGGGCACATTCCTCAAAGAGGCAAGTGCAAATTGACCTTGGTCAAGATGGGAACCGAACCACTCTATTGGCAAGCTAACTGAACCCCACTTGGGAGGCAATAACTGGTGTTTTAATTCCTTCCAAAGTCATCACAATAACTGTGCCTGCAATCTTTACGGGCACTGGGAAGGTGCCAGACCAACAGAAGGCTGGGACACATTCAAAGAACCCAGGTCAGATTATTTATTTCCCTGCCTGGTAAGCCTGCCCAGTAATTTTCCTCAGCTCAATTAGATGCATTTGGCAGCAGATGTTTGCTTCAAAGCCAACCACTTGGAACAGTCTCACTGTAGGACAGAATGTGAGGCCAAGGAGGTACTAACAGGGGTATCAGCAGCTCAATGCCAGGTTCCACGAGTATTGTGCCAATTGAAGATTCAACGTTCCCAGGGACTCCTCATTAAACGTCATGAGAAAGCAGGTCAGTCAGACCCAGAACATGGAGCTGATCAGCTTCTAGACCCCTGTGGTGGCCAAATCTCTCTCTGAATGCCCTGAGAGTGTTGGTGGACACTGCATGCTCCCACTCCAAGAACACCTGGGCACAACTGCGGAAGCGGGGCAGGCAGTCGGGAACGGTGGCCCCCCAAGAACTGTTCAGGGGCCTGCACATGTAACATTTGTATTTGGTTGATACCATCATTTGACTCAGTCTTGGGTTACTCTACAATCCCGGTTCTTCTGGTAGGTGTCATTCCAGCAGCAGCCACCACCTCCTGGTCCAACGAAGTGCCCCTGGTGACCTCAGAACTCATTATCATCAGGTGGGCATTTCTAAAAGGCACCCATGGTTCTCTTGTCAACCCTCCAACTGATGAAACCCCCATCACCTCCATAATTCCACTGTGTAGCCAATTTGTGCCCTAATATCATATTCCAACGTTTACCCTTTGACCCTTAATAAAAAGAAAAATTGGCTAACAGAAATCTCCAACTCAGGTTTAAAATGAATAATTGATCACTTCCCAATTGCCATTTGTGGGTAGATTCAACCCAAGAGGATGTTTCTACTTGTAGGCAAGTCTGAAACTTGACATTACTAAATCAAAATTCAGGGAAAAATATCTTTAACTAAAGATTGATTACAATCTGAAAGTTGTAACCACAAGGAGTAGTTCAGGCAATTCACATGAAAGCATTTATCGTGAATAAGGGATATACATAAAGGTTGTGGGGAGCGGGGGGGAATGGAAAGACATACTAATAGGCTGGGATTTAAGATGGTAGCATTGATCAGTTGCTTTATATTTGGAATGAGCTGACATGGATCTGAAATTTTTTAGAGTAATGCAGAGGTGGTTTTAAATTCAAACAGTTTATTTACACCATCTAAAACGTCTTAGAACTTGACATATTTTACAACGTCCACACAGCCATAGTTAGGAGCAGCATCTCTCGTCTCTTGAGCATTTTCTCTCTGAGGATCAGGAATCAGTTATTTCGCCCACTTGCTCCACCCATAGCTTAAAGCAATCATGCACTGTACTTTTATGTGTTTCTACTTGGTATTCAAGGCAGAAAGCACACGTTCCTGGACTCTCTCCTCCTATTGTTTCTGTTGTATTTCTACCAATAGTTCCTTAGATTTCTAATTATAATCTACATTAAAAAGATCAATGCTTAAAGCTACTTTATTGTTACACCCAAGCACAGTGTGTCCTGCGTGCTGGCGCCAGTCCATAACCACATTTGCCAGGACTTGCTATGTGCATTTGGATTACTGTCACGAGCAGCAAGTGGAAAGAGGGTCTGTGCCATTCAGCCGAACATCTTTCACATTAACCACAGGATCAGTGCAGAAGCACCCTGATGACAGTCTGATTCATCAACTCTTCAGACCATCAAGAATCAGCCTGTCAATACTGATCGCGGAAGCTGCTCACAGTAAACAGTGCACTGGAAAGAAGGGGATCACTGCGTAAGTTGGCAGCTGAACCTGGCAAGTGAGGTCACATCTGTCCAACCTGTTGGCTTCCACCATGTACCAGGTGTCAAAAACCTGAGCTATTCATCACTGAACCACTCCATTGTCCCAAATCAAACTCTCACCCCTACCCTCCAGCCCCTTCAATTCTCTAGTCTGTCTTCGCTGCAGAATACCAAAACTCTCAAAGAACAAAGAACAAAGAAAATTACAGTACAGGAACAGGCCCTTCGTCCCTCCAAGCCTGCACCCACATGCTGCCCGCCACAACTAAAACCCCCTACCCTTCCGGGGATCATATCCCTCTATCCATCCTATTCATGTATTTGTCAAGATGCCCTTAAAAAGTCACTATAGTATCTGCTTCCACTACATCCTCTGGCAGCGAGTTCCAGGCACCTACCACCCTCTGTGTAAAAAAACTTGCCTGTACATCACCTTTAACCCTTGTCCCTTGCACCTTAAACCCATGGTCCCTGCTAACTGACTCTTCCACCCTGGGAAAAAGCTTCTAACTGTCCACTCTGTCCATGCCCTTCGTAATCTTGTAGACCTCTATCAGGTCGCCCCTCAACCTTTGTCATTCCAGTGAGAACAACCCAAGTTTCTCCAACTTCTCCTCATAGCTAATGCCCTCCGTACCAGGCAACATCCTGGAAAATTTTTACTGCACCCTCTCCGAAGCCACCACATCCTTCTGGTAGTGTGGCGACCAGAACTGAACACAATATTCCAAATGACTCATAAAGCAGAGGCTCTGTGCCGGAACAGAACTATCTATCCTGGCTGGCACAGCTCTGCCATTTAAAACCTCGCTTGCAGGCACCTGAAACATATTGCTCATTCCATTCCAGGAAATACAGCCTTAATTCCAAAGGCCACTGACTGGCCCTCAGAATTGTTGCCTTACCTTCTGCAGGTCTTGGGCTGAAGAGTGTGATCCAGCAAGCCCAGAGTGTCCACCAATGGAAGCCCATTGTCTCTAGCGAGGTCCCTGTGCGTTGTCCAGTCCTCCGTTGAAGTCTAACGCTCGAATGCTGTAGGGCTGGGACCAGTGATCCTCAGACCTGAGGTGGAAACAAACATAGGAAGTTGGATTAGACTTCCACCAGAGGTCAAACATGTCATCTATGCTGAGGATTTGGACCTCGCAAAGGAATAGATAGGATTTTCTGATGAAGGGTCTAGGCCCAAAACATCAGCCTTCCTGCTCCTATGATGCTGCTTGGCCTGCTGTGTTCATCCAGCTCTACACCTTGTTATCTTAGATAGGATTGCAGTTTAACACCTCTACTCCACCACCCTCACCTCAATTCATGCAAGTTGTACACCTAAGTTTATTTTTGCTGAACCACAAGAGATGTGGCTGGCTCCACTGCTGACATTCAAAGGGCATTTAAGGTTAAAAAAGTTATTGCTTTATTAAGAGTGCAAGACTAGAAGACAACTGGAGATGAGAAATGTTACTCTACCATCATAACTCACACACACACGACAGCTAAAAATAACTTCCCTATTACCTCGCCTGGTGCTTTATTGAGGTGTAGTTTTTGTCCCTTTCATTCTGCCTGAATATCAATCAGAATACTTCTCACTTCTTGTCTAGAGAGGTGCTTGAAAGTCAAAAGGTAATCGGGGTTAGGCAGGAAAGTGGAATTGAGACCGTAATCAGATCAGCCATGATCGTATTGAATGGCAGAGCAGGCCCAAGCAGCTGAATGGCCTCTGATTTGCATGTTAAGGGTATCAGGCCTGGTTTGACTCATTGCCCTGTGGTGTCAACCTAACACCTTTTGAGCTCCAAATAACAAATTACAACCCTTAAAAGAAAAGAACATCAGTTACTTGATATTGGAGATATCTCCATGAGTTGGCAGTGGTACACATAACAGCTCCCCGCTTCAAAACCCCATCTTGGGCCTTCATTTCTGTCTGAGCCTTGACCTCAAGTATGAAGGTTTTGTTTACTGTTTGAAATCTGGGATTGCTTTGAATGAGTTCTTTCCAACTTTGAGACAGTGACACCTCATGGTAATTTTGGATATCTCCGCTACGGTGGAATTATGACACGCAGTGTTTTTCACAGTGAGCCCTGTCATATGCACACTTTTTCGAATTGTATCCTCCATTTAAGATTGCCTCTCCTCGCAGAGACTGAGGAGACTGGGCCGGTATTCTCTAGAGTTTACAAGAACATGATGGTCTTACAACATTGTTAGAGCTATAGGGTTAAGGTTAGGATTAGGTGGTGATTAGGTTGGATTGTGTGGATGCCCTGGGATGTCATCTGGGTGTGGTGGGGTCTAGAACCAGGAGGCACAGTCTCAGAATAAGGGACAAGTCATTTTAGCATTGAGATGAGGATGGGAGTAGAGAGGAGGCTCAGACATTGAGTATATTCAAGGCAGAGATTGATGTATTCCCAGACACTAAAGAAATAATGGAATAATGCAGGGAAATTAGCGTTAAAGTGGATGGTCAGCCAAGAGCTAGAATGGTGATGCAGGCTTGAGAGGCTGAATGGCCAACTCCTGTTGCTACGTTTATCCTAACAAAGCATACCATTTCAGAGATAAGGGGTCTGGCCACACAAGAAGACCACACACCCCGCAACCCCCGTCCCTGCCGTGCAAAGAAAAAAACTGCATCTTGAATGCCTCGGCAGGTAAAACAGTATTACAAGTATCATAGTCACGATCCTGTACCTTTGCAAATGAGTAACAGATTCACTTTGAGGCAGTTAAATGAATCTCCCACATCATTGGTTGTATAGTAGTGGTGGGAAAACTGCTACCTGTCTTCACTTCAGCAGGGCCACAGCAAAACATTCAACTCTAAGCCTTGGAGCAGTGGCTTAGTGGCTTCTATTCCTATGAGTAAGATGGCAGTGGGTTCAAGTTCCACTCGAGACTTGAGCATAAAACCTTGCTTAACATGCTGGTGCAATGCTGAGGGGTTGCCACATATTCTGAGACAGTAAAATTTTAAACCAAGACTTCTATCTGCTCTCTGATGTGACTGCAAAAAGAAAACATTTTGAAGAAGAGTGGGGATTCAAGGTGGGATGGCCCAGAGTGTTTCAACTAGCATCGATTACTCAACCAACATCACTCAATTAGGTTATCTGGTCATCATCACATTGTTGTTTTATGGGAGCCTTCTTTGTACAAACTGGTTCCAACCAAATACTTCAAAAGTAGTTAATTTATTATAAAGCTGTTTGTGACCGCCCACAATCACAGGTGGAACACCTTATCTAAGGAAAGATATACGGGTAATGCAGGCTATTCAGAGAAAGTGAACTTGGCTAATCCCAGGCATGAAGGGACTGTCTATCATCAGCTAAGATACCAACCCGATTGAGAAAACCCAACCAGCTGAGAGGACGTGTTAGCCATGGTCGTGGCTGAATTGGTAAACACAGAAAGTGTCCAGGCAGTTCCAGCAATGTCGGTGGTATGCACTATCATAGAATCAAGTCTGATACATATCATTCAGGTTACTTCAGAAATTTTGGTACGAGACATTGCCATCTCACCTTAAAACAGTTACAAACATAGAAACTGCAGGGAAAACTCAGCAGGTCTGGCAGAACAGGTTCTGAAGAAGAATCATTGGACCCGAAACATTAACTCTGTTTTCTCTCCACAGACTATGCCAGACCTTACTCAGTTTTTCCAGAAAACCTGTTTTTGTTTTTGATTTCCAGTATCAGCAGTTCTTTGGTTTTTTGTTATCAGGATGAAACAGTTGTTCTGTATGACTATAAATCCGGTTCAGCTGTGGATGACCAGTGAGCAAACCTGATTAACTATGCCAGGAAACCTGAAGGAACAGTGGTTATTATTGCTACTGTACATAACAATTACTATAAAGATCTGGGCAAAGGAAGACTGCCCACGCAACCTGTCATTGTCAAGGAAAATGTCTCCAGTTGGAAAGTTGAAGAATAAAAAATCGAGGAAGTTGGTGGAGCTGTGTATTAAATTTATGGCATAAATTTTATAATTGGGGATACTAACAAAATATTGTCACTTTAAAAAGTAAAATGCAGGGACTATCTTATGTGGACAGGTTGATTAGGTCGGGCCTGTACTAACCGGCGGTTAGAAAAATGAGAGGTGACATTTCTGAAACATTATTCAAAGATTCTTGGGGGACTTGACTTTGGCGTGGCATGCTGGCTCAGTGGTTAGCACTGCTGCTCACAGTACCAAGGACCCAGGTTCAATCCTACCCTCAGGAAACTGTTGGTATGGAGTTTGCACATTCTCCCTGTGTCTGCCTCCCTCAGTCCAAAGATGTGCAGGTTAGGTGGATTAGCCATGCTAAATTGCCCATTGTGTTCAGGGATGTGTAGGTTAGGCGGATTTCCTGGGAAACGCAGGGATAGGGTAGGGGAATGGGTCTGGGTGGGATGCTCTTTGTACAGTCAGTGTTGACTTGATAAGCCAAATAGCCTGCTTCCATGTTGTAGGGATTCTATGACAGGGTAGATGAGGAGAGATTGTTTCCCCTTGTGTGACAACCTATGCCCAGAGGGCATCATCTCAGATTAAGAGGTGGCCCATTCAAGACAGAGGACAAATTTCTTCTCTCAGAGGGTAGTAAATCTGTAGAATTCTTTACTACAGAGGGCTGTCGAAGTTGGGTTAATAAGCATATTTAAGGTTGAGACAGACAGATTTTTAACCATTTTTCTGAAGAAGGGTCTCGACCCGAAATGTCAGCTTTCCTGCTCCTCTGATGCTGCTTGGCCTGCTGTGTTCATCCAGCTCTACACCTTGTTACCTCAGATTTTTAACTAGGAAGGGAATCAAGGGTTATCAGGAAAAGACAAGAAAGTGGAGTTCAGGATGATCAGATTAGCCATGATCTCACCGAATGATGGAGCAGACTTGATCAGCTGAACGGCCTATTTCTGCTCCTATGGCCTTATGAGGAGTAATATAAAGTCTTTCCTTTTTGGTTTTCGGATGTATTGCAACTCTTGATCGATGGTACTGGGGCTCTCCTCGAACACTGCCCAATAAATCATGACAGAACAGGGCACTGAACTAAACACGTGCATTGGCAATATGACAGAAGCCACAAGTAGGATGTTGAATCATTCTTCCCTTTAATAAAATTACTCGGTTTTAGATGTCGACACAGACAATCAGTCACTGCACAGGGGTGGCTAATATCATAACTGTGGGCACACTGAAAACTTCTTGACTGATTAGGAGAGGGGAAGGGAGCAGTGATATAGGAGGGAGGGAGTTATTGCTCAAATCCAAGTGGTAGAGGAAATTAACTCAGGGATTAATAAAGAAAGAAAGGGAAGACAGGGGAAATTGTAAGGAGTATCAGCACAGTCCAGAGACCTGGAGCTCAGAGGTGAATTGGCAGCTGGGAATCTAATCCTGCCCACAAAGAAAGAAGCACGTCCCTTGTTCCAACTGGCCACCCCCTACACAAAAACAGATCTGTAAAATCTTCAGAGAAGCACAAACGACATGCGCTCCATAACTGCTCGCTCTATGATGGTGGGGTGGGGGGGGTTGGGCGTGGTGTGTGTGGAATCTCTGCAGTTCTTGTGTTCAACTGGCCGCTTTTTCAAAAGGAGGCAAATGTTTGCTCACTCGCAAAGAAATTAGCTGAAAGTTACAGCTTTGCAGTTGGTGAAAGTATATAAATACCTTGACAGATCATGATTGTGGGTTTGGTTTATGGTCTCTGATCCAGATGTGACTGTGTGTTCCACATTACAAAGTGAATGATGCAGAATTACAGTGCAAATGTTGCAATATTATGAAGCCAATGGCGCAGCGTTACGCGGAGAGTGCCCGAGATCTAACCATAACAGAACAAATATAATGCAACATTACAGGGTGTGTGGTGTTGTGCTGCAAACTGAAGGTATGATATTACAGGATGCATTTTCTCATATAGCAGGGTGAATGGTGCAGTATCACATGGTGAATGGTGCAGTATT